GTGCATAGCAAATCGCATCAATTCCGCCGCTTCTTGTCTTCCGCCAGTGCGATGGTGGGGACGGTTGGTGTCGGAAGTTGGCCGTGTAGATAGGACCGCCGGTTCCAGCGTTCTCACGAAAAGGGAATCGTCTGGTAACCCGGCAACAATGTGTCGGCCGCAGTCAACCCGCAGTCGCGCCCCTTCGTTACCGACATCTTTTGCCGGTCGTTGCGCCAGCACGTAGAACACCACCAACGATTTTGTGCCCGTGATGCGCTCTCCATGATCCCAGAGCATCCGCAGCACAAAGCCAGGTTATTCATAAGCTCCAGGACGTACTTGCCATTTGGCGAAATGTGATTTGAGCGACGAATTTCAAGAACATATATCTGAGTCCTTTGAAGCGAAGGATTCCAGGTCTTTTGAGAGATAAAAACCCATGTTCCGTCTCTGAGCAGCCTGTCGAATAAAAAACAGAGAGTGTCGAGGTGAGGGCAAGGAGAGCAAGGGCAGATTGATCTAGTGATTCGATCATTGATTGCCACTGCCACTGATTTCACCTTGTCTTGCTTCCCGATGTCTTGCGGACTCTTGCCATTGGAATACGACTTGATTTCTCCGCCTCTGGTCTCACCACCCGAAGCTATTTTTTCAACAAAGCCTCCTTCAATGAAAATGAAGCATTCCAGCCCTTAAGACCTTGCTGTTGCCTTGCTGACCTGATCCGGTTTTCAGTGTCGCTCGTGCCACTGGCGCTGTTACTGGACTCACTGCTCTTAAATCATGCGACTGGACAGTATACCCGCCGCGACCAATCCTGGATTCAGTCTCAGCAGCTGACTGGGACTTCGATGCGACTTTTATCCGCGTTGATCAGCGTTGTGGCGGTCCGCCAAATTCGCAGTTCTGAACGACATTTTCTGCTCTCGCGGGCCGTCCACGAATCATGCGCTCTACCTCGACCATGCAAACGAGGTCATGAAGACCGGGCAGTCGTCGCGGGTCTGAAGGCTGAGAGCTATAAGATCATTGTACCGGCTGTTAGCTCACCAAGCACGATGATTGCTCCTTTGCTTTTCCTTGCTGGCATCGCTGCTGCAGCGGTCGTCGATCTCGAATCTAGGCAGACCGCAGCCCAAATCACCACCGTTGACCTCGCCGTCAACTGGGGCGCTCCCATCCGCCGCGCTTCCGGTGCGCATTCGCTGTTTTCTTTTGATTCTACATCTGATTTCATTGACAGGGATTCTCTATGGGGTCCCGAACACCAAGAATCAAATCCCGTCAACTTTCTACACCAGTACGCGTAACACAGCATCATCTCGTTCTTGTTCCTTAGGAGCGCAATCAGGCATCGGGTTCAACTACTTGAGCGCTGGCGGAGCGCAGTTCCCCGCCGCTACAGGCTGGATATTTGGCGGATATACAGTAAGTATTCGGCAATTATTCTTCCTTTGTTGTGCGTCCATTGAGCGGTACATACTCCAGAGCCGATTCCAAAACGTCCTTTCCAACTTCCAGACGGCGCGGCAGTTCAACGCACAGTTTATCCTCAAGATGAGCGATCTCTGGGGAACGGACGGCACGCAAGGCTCGAATGGCGTCTACCCCGGCGCTAACAATGACTTCGTTGGTAAACCATTCTTCCGCCTGCATCCTTTAAGACATTGACTCGGCCTCAGAGTACGACGCGTATCTCACCCAGCTGGTCAAGGATCTCAAGGCGAATGGGTTGGTCTCTTCCCTCGTTGGGTTGGAGTTTTCACTGAATTTGCGTAGGATGACCACCAACATCAAGCTGCTCATTTGGAACGAGCCGGATCTCAGCTTGTTCTGGGCCGCCCGTGCGTAACCCAGGCCGCTCTCTGCATCCACTCATTCTGAATTGAATACTCCCTCCAGCTCAGGCACAGTACTTCGCTACTTGGAGTCACGCCGTCAAGTTCCTCAGGTATGGACTTTCCCCGTATTTCATTCATTATTGCAACAGCCCCGCCTCAGAGCCAATCTCCCGGGCGTTCCAATTGCAGGCCCGGCTATGTCCCAGGCGCCGTCGACCTCCAACACCTGGTGGACGGGCTTCCTCACGCGCGTCAAGGCAGACAATACGGCGCCGGACGTGTACACATGGCATCATGAAGCTGGGGTGCGTCATTCATCCATTCCCTCAACGCCCGGACTAACCTCATTGCTGAGTATATAGAGCACCGACATCAACAACGACCTCCAGACGAGCCAGCCGGCCATGGTCAACATGCTCAACTCCTTCGGCCTCGCCATCGGTGAATTCGGTGCGTCCATCCCATAATCAGACACCATGCGGAGGTGCTGAACATGGGACTAGTTATCGACGAATACGGCAACCCCTCCGAGCAGACCCCGTCCGGCTCCGCGTGGTGGATCGCGCGCTTCGAGCGCTTCAACATGTCCGGGTTGCGCGGGAATTGGCTCAGCGGCGCAAACCTGCAGGACTTCATGGCCGGGCTTCTGTGGAAGAGCGGCAGCACGTACTTTGCCAACGGCGGTGCGTCCGTAATTAATTCCTCAAACAACAACTCACGCCTCAAACGAATGCAGAGTGGCAGGTATACAAGTACTACGCGGGGTCGATGACGGGGTTCCGCGTCGCGACGACGGGCTCGACAGACCGCCTCATGGATAACTTTGCGGTCGTGGGGACGAACATCGTGCGCATCCTCGTCGGCGGGCGGGTCGTCACTGGTGCGTCCGCATCTCTTGTCCTCTCTTGGCTTGCCCTCGATTCTTATTCAACGCATCGCGTAAATCAGGCACATACTCCCTCCAAATCAAGAATCTCTCCGCGCTGGGGCTGCCGACGGCGGGAACCATTAGCGTGCGCACGCGGCAGTTCTCGTTCGCGGGGACGACGGGGCAGGAGGGCGACCCGACGGATCTGGGGCTAGTGGCGCATACGTACACGGGGAACGTGCTGTCGTTCCCAATATTTCAGACAGACTCGGCCACGACGTGGGCGTTCGAGTTTGGGTTCTAGTTTTTCGTTGGTAGGAGGTTGCAGGATCCGCATGTGTTCAAAAGCTTCTACTTAGCACAACGCATGAAATCACTTTGGCGGCCGAGACCATGGACTGAGCATAGGAAAGCGCTACTCCGTTAAGTATGAAGACCATCACTCTCGCCCTATTCATCAGGCCGAGAAAATAGCACGTCGATAATGGACTCACTAAGAGAAATGCACCATAGGATCATGTTTGCTCCGCCAACTCCAAGTCGAAAATGAAAAGAGGCCAGCAGCGCTCGCGCGGGGCAGAACCTTCTGAATCCTCTCTTCGAACGCAACCACGTCATCGCTGAAAATGCCCCAATTCACCTCGCGGAGCTGCGACAGGTCTTCGAGTGCAGTCTCGACTTCGCAGAGGTTGTACTGATCCACGACCTTCCCGCTTCCGTCATATTCTGCATCCACGATGATGCTGAGGACTTCCAACTGGGGCATGGACGTCGGCAGGTCAATCACGGTGGACAACACCGCCACGGGAATGCGCAATTTCCCGACTGAGGCCTTGAGAGTGAGCATGCGGAGATTGGGGAGGGAGGGTAGACGTATCGGATGCTCGTGCCGCTCTGTTGAACCATGAGTGCATGAGATCATTGCGATGAGACGGGGGTTCACGACGTACGCCAGAAATTTATGACCAAATGTTGAAGGGAGCTGGAATGATTCAGAGCTATTTTTTCCAGCCCTCCGAGGGAGCCTTGGACTGGGACAGCAAGTTCCAGTTGGTCTAGGCATGTCGAGGGCGCCGTTATCCCCTCGGCAATCATCCGAGCGTGAAACTCGGGATTCTGCGACGGGGCGTAGTTCAAGAGGAGATGTGTGAGTGATTTCCCGTCATCGCTCGTGGGAGCGGGGAAGAGATCGATCTTTTGATTGACGTCGATACCTGCTACGAGCAGGCCCACTTCTTTGTAGGATGCGAGTGCGTGCCGGATGAGGGCTAGGGGTACGCCGCGACAACGAGTCATGGCGAAGCAGCGGAGGGAGGTTAAGGTGAGCAGCGAAACGAAGGCGTCGTGGAATTCGTCGGGGAACGAGTCCCAAGCCCAGGTTTGCCAACTATAGGACGAGATAGCCATCCGTTGGACTTTGTTGAGGAGCCGGAATGTCGTTAACAGAGAGTGTTGGTGGAGTTTGGTGTTAAGGTGCATATCGACATGCAGGTCTCGAACGTAGGAGGCAAGATGTGGGCGTTCGGTAAACCTGGAAGAGGCGATGCCAACTGTTTTCGAATTCAGAGTGAGAAATCGGAACAGCCGGCGTTGGCTGGGGAGTACGAAGCTGCGAGAGACCATTGAGCATGCTTTCAGGCTCTTGTGGGCTGCTGGACCCGCGAGCTCCTCCAGAATCGCATCGACGAGCTCCTGGGGAAGCCACATCGTGGTGGATTGGGATCAAGAGTCGTGTCGGGGACTGTGATCGGCGACCCCAAATCTATCAAAATACGGCATCTCCCACCGTGTCAGACCGAGGCTAAAAATGTGAACTCAATTAGAAATCGTCATAGGTGGCCGCCGCGACCCCACTTCCCTTGCTCTAACTTCCGGTTCGTAGCACGGTAGTGAACACCTTGCCGATGCAGTACTTCACCCCCCATAAGACTCCGCGGTTCGTAGGCGTACGCGGAGCGCCAAGGCGGGGAAGCCATATAGCTCCGTGGGCAACACGATCAAGCGGCCTAGACTTTTAATTTGTTCATCACATTCACACAGTCTGAACCATGGAGTGTTAACCGAGAGGTAGAGCTTTGTGTTGGGATAAAGTCATCACATCACAAATACCTTCTGTTAAATCTCTAAGCATAGACTGAAGCTCTTCAACATCGATATTGATCGGGAATTGCCGGCTCGGACATTATAAGGATATGTTCCAAAGAGCAAAATTGTAAATAGGCTTTCGGAACAAAATACCTAACCTTTCCGCACCAATATCGGTAAACAAAAATATTTAACGCACGAGGCAGAACGGACCCAGAAAAATTTACGGACACGAGGAATTGAACCTCGATCTAACTCTCATCCCAGCCATGGGAGAATAATATGAGCTCGTGCTATCCTTTGCACCATGTCCTGATATCGGCACCGAATGCCGAGCGCAGCTCAAATCGATTGAGCCGTTTTGTTTGGGCGACGAGATACCGGAACTACACGCAGACGGGAAACTATGGAGTCTACCCAAGCCTCTTTCCAGTGTTCCTGGTGGCCATCGTCCTCGAGCTATAGCACTTCCAACTCAACCCCTCTTTATTCCTACCGAATCGCGATGCCACCAAGAAAACTGCCGAGTTAGCGTCAACCGAATTCAAGGTGACGTTTGACATCTCGGCGTCCTCGGACATCACCAAGGGATCGAGGGGTTTTACTTGTCGCTCAGCTTTCCAACTCCGTGAAAGTTTCGAAACTGAAAGCTTGCAACATTGTACACAGGAACTGATGGGCCGACAGGTCCGAAGTCCGAAATCAAGATACAACTTCCGACGTTCCGTGTCCAAAACGTGTCGCCGAAGTCGCCGCGACAGGCAAAAACAGTGACCAAAATAGCGAGCGACGTGTTATGTTCTCTTGAATCCCTAGGTGCTATCCAAAGCCATATCATATATAGTCAACACTCACGCGCAACCCATTTTCGAAAATGTTGCAGCGCGCCGTAGATAAATCGGGCAATTCATACTTTCACAGAATCATCGCACTCAAGTCCGTTCATCTGTTTTTGGACTATCGGTCAGGCACCATTGCTGCCGGAAGTTGGTTGTCGGACGCATCCTGGAGACGGCAGTGTTGGTTGCACAGCTCGGGAATTATGCATCTGTGATGGTATGACGAGGTTGGTTACACAGGAGCACTTTTCGTTTGAGCGAAATGGTACAGTGAAAGCTCTGTAGCGAAGGGTGCTGTGGAGGTTGGTGACCAGACGGCTGCGGACTTGTGATCCGCATCCTGTCAGGACGTCCGAGCGCCTAACCGGGATCTCGCCCGGGAAGCCCGAGCTGAGTTTTCTCGATACCATATAGCAAGAATGGAATTTCATCGTTCGACTAGAGAATTCAACCATCAACATCTGAAGACTTTGGCGTTTCCCTCGCCCTCGAGATCAGACGGGCATGCACTCTCCGTAGTGCGCTCCAGACGCGCGGCACTGTGCAGGAGAGCACTCCAGGGGGGGGAAATGCCACAAACTTCCACTGCACCGAGCCGTGACGAAGAACCACCATCGCCGAACCAGGTATGGAAGGATTTGTGGCCATGTAGGTGAAATTAGAAAGACTGGACGATTGTGTTATACCCATGTACTTACCTCGAGTCGTTGCAAGCATCGTACCGCGAGCCATTGACGAGTCGGCAGAGCAAATACTGTAACGGCCAGCATGATACGAGCATTCCGGATGAATCATCCAGGATAAAACCAACTGGCCCCTGGTGGTGATGACTTCGACAACCGGAGCTTGGGTCTGGACATCGTCCGTGCGGCGGCTGGCCGTGGTTGTACAAATTCTAAAAAGGACGTTTCTACGGCAGAAAGACCTCGCCTCCAGGCTGAGGATTGCCAGGAGACATTGAAAGCACGTGAATATGATTGAGTCAGCCGATGGATCGGTCAGCAGTAACCCCTCTCGGATACCACCGTTCTCGAATACAAGTTCCCAGTCTGCAGCCTGATCACCACATCGGAATGTCCCCCTTCGTCGCGTTCGTCATAGGCTCGGGCCAAAACATTGGCGACAGCACGGCGGCAGCGCTCAAAGCGCAGGGCTACAAGGTCGCTGTGGGTTCGCGTAAGCCCGCAGTCGAGGAGAGGCAGCGGGATGGGTACTTCCCCGTGGCTATGGAAGCGCACAACCCTGAAGGCGTCAAGGCGGCATTTGCGCATGTGAACGCAGAGCTGGGTCCCCCGAGCGTTGTGGTGTTCAACACCGGTGCGTCATCGTCCTCGTCCAACTTTGGTCCGGGCACGGCAGCTGATGGTCGTTTGGGTTTCCAGGCCTTTCTGTGACTGCCCCCGTTCCCGAAGACCCACTCAGCCTTCCGCTCGAGGCGTTCCAGCGGCAGACAGCGGTCGCCTCGGCCGTCTATGCCGCGGCCCAGGAGGCCTTAGTTGGGTTCCGCTCTGACGCGCTCAAGGGAATGAATAAGACCTTCATAATTACTGGCAACCCTCTCCCATGGCTTCCAGCCGACGTTCTCCCCATCTACTTCGGCCTGAATATCCAGAAGCTCATCCTTTGGCGCTTGATGGAATTCTTTTCGGGTGCTTATTCGAAAGAACAGGCGCGGTGAGTGGGGGCTTGCTTTTTCGTCTTTTTCGTGAGTATAATGCTACAACATTGTGGATTTAATCCAGGTTCTACTTCGCTACCCTCGTCGGCGAGAAGGGTGGTGTGATCGAGGACGTTTCGGCGTTCCCCACAAGCGGACCCCAACACGCCCAGGTCTATCTGGACCTCATCGCCCGGGCTGACCAGACCGACTGGGATTATAGGTCTGTGCTTTTACCCAGTCGGCGGTCACATGAGGCTTGCTGATGTTTTAATTTCTGTTGACCAGGTTCACTTTGGATGGGAAGCAGTGGGCCAACTAAGATAGTCCATGTACCCATCGGTGAAAGAAAGATTCGAAACGTTGTATTCAAATTGGATTCGCGGATCCAAGCTCGTCCAGAGAAGAATCATAGATGGAAGGCGCAAGCATTCATTCAGCCACAGAGCTCTGGTAACTTTGTTGAGCGGATACGACAAGAATTTCTAAATTGAACAGGCTCGAGAGGTCGAACCCTTGTTCACATTATTATATCTATCTAAGTATGTGCGGTGATACCTAATATATACTATACTGTATTAGACATAATACTATACTACATCAGCCATCTGCGAAAGGGGAGCAGTGCATCCATCTCGCGTTGGGATTATGAACAATACATAACGACAGCAAGAACACATCCAAATAAGTAGGGCCCAAACCTGTTGTTCAGGATATGAGAACGGTGTCAGGGCCAGATGTAGACGTACGTACCGCTGCGACCCCCTCTCGTCTTCTACAAAACTCCGCTCCGAAGAGACGGAGATGTAAAAATGAATCTCGCGAAGAGAAAATGAATCTCACGAAGAGATCAGGGGGCGGAAAAATTACGAAGTACACTAAAGGAAGATAAGCTCGCCGAGCCGTCCTGAATCCGCCGTGCATCTCGTCACGCCGCGGTCCGCCTCGATGCCTCCCATAACCCAGATACATCAACAAACCGGTCCTCCTTCGGGGGCCAAACGGCCGTCCTACGGGGACCGACGGGGCATATGTATAGCAAGGTCGCAGGGGTCGACTTAGGTATTTAAATATGTTCAGCTCGCCATCTACGACCTATGTCTTGAGGGGTAGGGATCGACGGGCAACTGGCCACCGTCGGGGGTGGGCCAGCCCGCCGCTGAAGATCCTCTGCGCCTCGACGGCGCGACCTGGACCCTGAGGTTCATAACCCGCGCGTCAGAGAGCGTGGCATTGATATCATTGTTCAAGCTGGGCAGCGGAAGACAGGACGTGAAGCTGGGAATTAACCCGATGCTAGGCGACATTTGGGGGAGCAGCTATAACAGCGCTTTCCAAACGCCGACTGCTTGCACAAGAATGCGCGATCAGTCTGACACCGATAGTGCATGAAGGAAGACGATGGGCAGCACATCTCCCAGTCCCACGACGATTCCAAGCCGCGCCAGCGCATCCCTCCCTCTCACGAGATCTTTGGGGTTAGCACGCAGCGTATTTCTGATACGTCGAGTGGCTTCACATCCAGCTAGGATGGATTGGAGGAACTGGAAGTCTCAGACCTTCCCGCTCGGAAATGGACGAACAGTCCTGTGTGGAACGAGCATCGCAGCCTTGCGGCGGTAGGAAGGAGAGTCTCCTGAAAAAAGCTTCCGCTGCTGATGTCACATCGGAGACAAAAAACATACCCGCTTTACTCGGCATTGCTCAGTCCCGAAGTTCCCAATGAAACTTTGTCGTCGTAACTATCATACATACAGCCGTAAATACAATCGTGCGTGCGTAGTGTAGCTAGCTATCTGTATATTCATCTTCGTTGCATCATTTTCCAGCGCACGTCTACACGCAGCGCGACTCCCCCATCCCTCTCCCTCCATCCCCATCCGCATCGTAAATCAAATTAAATCATTTTCGAGCCAAATCAAACCTTCTCCAAGCTCCCGTCCTTCCGGTCCTCCTCGACGTCGACCGCGGCGCCTGTGAGCCCGAGGTCCGAGTCCCCGACGCGGTCCATGACGTCGCGGAAGCTCGGCGCGAAGTTGCAGCAGAGCGCGTACGACCACGCGGCAACGAAGAAGCACACGGGGACGACCATTCCGAGGGCGGTCGAGTTGTGGATGTCGGCGACCTTCGCGGTGAGGGGGGGTACTGTCGACGTGCGCGTGTTAGCATAGAAGCAACCATTTATTCATCCAGAAAAGGAGGGAGGGGAAGTGAAAGAGAAGGGAGGCATGGAAAGAGGTGGAAGGAGGAAAGGGATAAAAGCGAAATGAAACGTACCACACGCCCCGCCTACAACTCCGCCGACGATCCAGCCCGACCCGCGCTTCGTATGGCGCCCGATCCCGCGGATGCCGAGCGCGACAATCGTGGGGAAGCACACGCTCTCGAAGAAGAGCGTCACCATGAGCATCGCGAGGCCCGTGTTACCGCGCTGCGTGACGGACGCGGCGGAGAACGCGATCACCAACGTGAGGTACACGAGGAAGACCTTGCGCGGGCGGACGTAGGACATTATTGCTGTGAAAGAGCATAGATACACCAATAAATAAAGGGAGGAATGAGGGGGAGAGGATGGCCCGAGCACGCACCGGAGCCAGAGAAACGCCCAACGGCGAAGCAACCCTGTGCCCCCGCCAAAAAGTTCGCAGCGAGCGAGTTAGTCGTCCCCGGTCGTACCTCGGTCGCGTAGTTGATGAAGTAGCTCGCGATCGCAACTGGACGAGCAGCAACAATTAGTTCTTATTTATTTTACCCAGCAAGGAAGGGAGGACACGTACCCTGTGCGCCGACATAGCAGAACTGCGCAAACGCCGCGTAGA